TTCTTTCTTTCTTTCTTTCTTTCTTTCTTTCTTTCTTTCTTTCTTTCTTTCTTTCTTTCTTTCCTTCCTTCCTTCCTTCCTTCCTTCCTTCCTTCCTTCCTTCCTTCCTTCCTTCCTTCCCTTTTTTCTTTCTTTCTTTCCTTCCTCACTTATTTTTAAAGTTTTTAAAAACCACACATAATTCTTACATATACCATCCTTATTGCATTCAACTTCCTGTACTTACCCAAATCTCAGTTCCTAATAATGAAAAAAACCTTTTTATACACAGGTCATTACTTTTCTCACACACCTTATAGGCCACGTATCATTCATTATTTTTCTACTACTATTTGCAGAATTTTAACATTTATCCATATATGTTCTGACCTTTAGTAAAACCTTATATAATGGGATTCAAATACATCTACTTATAGTATTTTCTCATCATTTATGTATTCTTTGAAATTATTTTCTCTATCAAATAGTAGGGTTTCTGGAACATTAACATTCATGCAGTGCTGTATTGTCTGCGTGCAAGCCATCATCACATCTCAAATGTCATCCCAAGCACTAAACTTTCAAGGGGATATCCTCAATCATAGCCTCATTATATTGTCTGTTCAGTGTTTAATCATTAGCTAAGCATTCTATTTATCCTCATATAAACTTTTACTTTAATCAGATGCTTTCTCTAAATCAACAAATAATCCTTTTTGCAAGGTTATTTATCTCTCTGTAAAAAGGAGCAATAACAACATTCTTCCAAATCGAAGTAGCCTTCAAACTGATGCTAAAATATTGCACGATTACTATATAATTAAATCAGACCATATTTGAATATTTTTTCCAGTTGGATCATCTATACCTACTGTCATAATATTTTTAAATGTTGTCATAGCAATTTTCCATTATTTTTTCCAGGACATTAATACTTAACAACTTTGATATCAATTCCATTTTTGGTCATATCATTACCATCTCCACAGACAATGCTCCCTCCTGCTTTGTTGCACTTCAGTTTCATTCCAAATTATTTCATCACTTTTATTCTTAATCCCATTTACTCTGTTGCAGGTTATTTTTTCAGCTCTTTG